GCTGTCTTTGGGTTGGCATGGTGGTGTCGTGTGCTCTCGTTGTGGTTCATGTGCATCTTCACACTTTGGATCCTCTTTGCAATTCACATGAAACCATTAGGCCTAGTTGTATATTTGATAACCTTTTTCTGGTCAATCCTTAGAGGTGTGGTTCTGTTTTTACTCTTTTTCAAAGTAAAATAGTGATATGACCAAGCATGTGCGTTGGCCTTGAGGAAAGAGGAAACTCAGCTTGTGGTCTGTGTGTAATTGTATTTAATTTTTTCTCGAGGGACAGGAAGTTGAGCTCAAGTGAGGATGAGCAATAGATCCTAAGATGCACCGTGTTTATGTTTCATGTTCTTGTATCTGGGATTGTTCTGTGGAACTAGAATCTTTTATTACGAAAATATGTACAAAATAAGCATGAATGGGGATGTAGTGATTCAGTGCACTGACTGTAAAAGCTGAAGAGCTTGTGTTTATGCAAGTGGTTTTGTTAGTGGTTTTAGATTTGTACCCAAGTGTTTGTTGATATGCATTTGTGGGCCACTTTCAATAAGACAGGAATGAATGCCGGCTTAATGAATGTCCTGTGACCAGACACACACTCAATCACTCTGTTTTCAGTTTAACATAATAAACAGATGCTGTCGTGCATCATGGGTAACCCGGAATAGTTGTTTAAAGGAATTATTCACCCAAAAATGAAAATTTGCTGAATATTTACTCCCCCTCAGGCCATCCAAGTCAAGATGTAGATGAGTTTGTTACTTCATCTGAACAGATTTGGTGAAATTTAGCATTACATCACTTGCTCACTGATGGATCCAGTGCATTGAATGGGTGCCGTCAGAATGAGAGTCCAAACAGCTGATAAAATCATCACAATAATCCACAAGTAATCCACACGACTGAAGTCCATCCAAACTGTGTGTTTGTTATAAACAAGACATTAAATGATGGACTGGAGTCATGTGGATTACTTGTGGATTATTGTGATGTTTTTTTCAGATGTTTAGACTCATTCTGATGGCACCCATTCACTGCAAAGGATCCATTTGTGAGCAAGTGATGTAATGCTAAGTTTCAATGAATAAACAAATTCATATACATCTTGGATGGCCTGAGGGTGAAATTAAAATTTTTGGATTAACTATTCCTTTAATTTCTGATTTGATGTCTGATGTTTGATGAGATAAGTCTTTTTTAGGATTATCGATTTCAGAAATAAATAAAAAAAGGTCCTCTGTCTTAAATTTGAATATCCTTGGTGTATTGAAACACTGTTTAATTCCGAAAAGGAGAAATTTAGTTTGACACAACAGCAACAGCAGACAGATACTGAGCATAACAGTGTTTTATTAGGGATGACAGAATTGCAATTAGCAGAACTGGTGTTAAATTAAATCACAAGCAGTGTTTAATCAAATCACAGCGAGTTTAAAGGGGTCACATGATGCAATTTCATTTTTTCCTTTCTCTTTGGAGTGTTACAAGCTCTTGGTGCATAAAGAAGATCTGTAAATTTGCAAAGACTAAAGTCTCAAATCCAAAGAGATATTTTTTATAAGTTAAGAGTCAGCCACACCTACCTAAAACGGCTCGTTCGAACACGCCCCCACATATCTACCTCACTATGTGGGAAGATTTGCATAACGCCGCCCAAATGTTCATGCAAAGAAAGAAGGCGTAACTTTTATTCTCGCTGTAGTATTGTTGCCGCTGCCACCATGTCCTGAAGACGCTGTGTTTCATTGTGAAAGCGAAACTACTTTGTTTGGTCTTCCAAAAGAGGACGATATCTGCTTTGTCATGCCTCGAGCTCATCCGTGCTGGTCGCTGAGGGAATACTACAACTTAGTGCTGTGGATCGCCGGCACATTTTATGGAGGACTGTTTACTGATCCTGGGAGAGTAATTTTAGACTAAAATGCCGGGAGTTCTGACTCACGTAAGTACGTTTTCTTTTATCATTTGCCACTGATGATTCAAACGCGAGTTTTGGGCAGTAGAGTAGCACTTGTTGTTTGTCATTTCTCTGATCACAAATGCAGACAGGGTTTTATGTTTACACGGCACGGCACGATGCAATGCAACGCAACGTATAAAAAGACAGTATAAGTCATTATAATCAGTAATTATGCCCCCACTGGATGCAACAAATGCCTCGTTTGTAATGGGTTTTAATGTTTTTGTCTCGTCGCTCCGGCCGGACAGGGCATCACAGTATGGTAGGGGCGTAACATTTCCGTCTCACGCTTGAGGCATTCGGCCAATCACAACGCACTGGATAGCTGGCCAATCACAGCACACCTCGCTTTTTCAGACCGATGAGTTTTATAAAAATCGACACATTTCAAAAAGGCGGGGCATAGAGGAGAAACAATAATGTACAGTAAGTGGAAAATAATGTGTTTTTTTTACTTTAAACCACATAAACACATTTCATTACACCAAATACACAAAATAATGTTCTTTTTAGCAACATCATATGACCCCTTTAACAATATTAAAGTCACTTGCTTGTAGGCTGAGGAGGAAATTTAAAAAGCGATACATGTCAGTCACAACTAGAGGGCGCTTACTTCCAAGATTTACCCTTGAGCATGTCTGCAGTGTTTTGTGTAGAATAATACATTAGGGAAATCTCATTAGGGAACCAATGGAATGCGGATATGGAGATGCTCATTTGAATAATTTAGCCGCAGTCAAAAACAGAGTAGTAATGGTTCAGTGTGGATTCAGTGTTTGTTTGCAGATATGCTCAGCAATGCCATATCTATCTGCTCTCTGAGCATTAGCTGGTAACATGCCTTCATTGTGCATTGATGTTCAATAAAAAAAAAAAATAGGAAAGAAATTCCTGGCAGTGGTTTGTTAGCCCTCCTCTGTAACTCTTTATATAAGCCTGTTAGAAAAACAGTTGGCAGGATGCATTCTATTGGACATGCAGTTAATTTATCACCAGTCCAGCACACAGTGCCTGGGTAGAACCAATCAACATGTTCATGACTCCCATCTAATGTTGTTCAAGGGTGGGAATGAGTACAGAACAAAGCTTGGTTTTAGATTCTAAACTGAAGATTCATGTATCTGTGCTTGATACAAACAGTAAATGATTTACAGGTTTGCAGCAGCTTTTGAATTACTTTTTGATTTTTAACAAATTTGTCACTTTTTTTTTTCCCCTGAATTTTTTCTTTATTATGGAATTTACATGCAGATCAAGGGAACTGATCAATTACATTATTAGGCTCAAGGGTGGGAATGAGTACAGAACAAAGCTTGGTTTTAGATTCTAAACTGAAGATTCATGTATCTGTGCTTGATACAAACAGTAAATGATTTACAGGTTTGCAGCAGCTTTTGAATTACTTTTTGATTTTTAACAAATTTGTCACTTTTTTTTTCCCCTGAATTTTTTCTTTATTATGGAATTTACATGCAGATCAAGGGAACTGATCAATTACATTATTAGGCTTTTTTTTAGCAAATTAAAGTTACTTTATTAATAATTGAAAAATAATAATTAATTATCAATTTCACCAAATTAACACATTAAGCTCACAGCTATGTACACTACTATTTAAACATTTGGACAATATGATTTTATTTATTTATTTTTAGTGATTATTTTTTGGCATATATTAGATCATAACACAATAAAAAAGAGGGACATTGTAAAATATAGTTTACAATAATGTGTTTTAATATGTTTTAAACTGTAAAATTAACACATTAAGCTCACAGCTATGTACACTACTATTTAAACATTTGGACAATATGATTTTATTTATTTATTTTTAGTTATTATTTTTTGGCATATATTAGATCATAACACAATAAAAAAGAGGGACATTGTAAAATATAGTTTACAATAATGTGTTTTAATATGTTTTAAACTGTCATTTACAGTATTCGTGATGGGAAAATGTATTACTGCAATGGCAAAATTAGAACAATTTCAGTGTGCTGATTTCATACTCAAGAAGCATATCTTATTATTATCAATACTGAAACAGTTATACAGCTTAATGTTTTTATGGAAACTGATACATTGTTTTTTCAAGATATTTTAATGAATAGAAAGTTTAAAAAACAATGATTTGAAATAGAAATCTTTTGTAAATATATATAAATATGTATATAAAAAATAATGTATTGATATGATTTAATTTGAATAATTATTAAAAAAAATTAAAACTAGGCATCACAAATCACAAAAAGCATGTAAATACAATAATATGGTGCTAGACGATGATTATTATTATTATTATTATTATAGGTCAGGACCAAAATTCAACTATTTATTAAAATATTTATTGTCTCATCCAATGTAATATGAGTTGTTTAACGGCTACTGGCTGTATTTGTGTAAAGAAACATCACAGTTATGTACTTTATCACATTTAACCATCTGTGGTGGCAGTTTTTGTTACTTTCTGCAGCATCTCAGGTTTCCATCACCACTGAAAGAGCCACAAGTGTTCCATTTCAAACACGGCCGTACACTCTCTTTATGCGTGACTGTATGTCGTGTGGGTGTGTATGGACTGTCATGTCATCTGCCATGCAGTCCTACCAGGAGATGAACATTTAATAACAGCTTTCTCCCAGAGAACAACAAGGACTGTGGGCTCAAACGCTGCTTTGTTTTAAATGCTGTGCTAGGAGTCCAGAAGCTGGTGCGCATCTATTAGATTGATGGGTTAAAATGCGAATTAAAAACAAATGAAGGCTGTGATGAATCCACTCAGCAATAAGAGAGGGAGATAAGTGTTATATAAGACGTTGGCCCTGAATCATCTGGCAAATATTAACTTAAATGGCACTTTTGAGCATGAAATGTCAGTCTCCAAGAGGAGAGATAAAAAAGCACATCCCACACAAAACATATGGCACAAGAAGCATGTTGATGCATCTCTTGTAAGGCTAGTAAGGCTCCTCCCCCTCTTGGCATGTGACTACTGTTTCAGCCCCCATTATTCTTGGACATATACTCCGACACACACTGCTGTTTGCCTGTGAGCGCCTTATCAGTGTGTGTGTTTGACTGTATTACACGCTTCTGCTTAGTTTGACTTTTCTGGGGAGAAGACGCAGAGGATAATAGGAATGATGGGGGCATCTCTGCCTGTGCGCGGGCAGGTAAATGAACATTCTTTAACGTCAATCAAATTTACTGTCATACCAAATCTGCATATTTTTAAATAGGCATTTAATCTTATGAATAGTTGCAATGGTTTAGATGATATTTTCAGATTTCTCTGCTGTCTTTTAAAAGAGAAAAATACATTTTAAACCGGCAGAAATAAGGAAGGAACTATTCTGCTCTGGGTGACTTGTGAATTTTGCAACACATGTGACTGCTAGTCTAAAAATGCATGTAATGTATGCACAGTGAGCCATCAGAAAGACCTGCGTTTGCACAGAGGGTGTGATTTTCAAAATGTTTGTGCACATGTATGTGGGAGAGCGTGAGTCACTGTGGAATGTCAGTGTAATATAGGCGGATATTATATTTATTTAAAATAATAACTAATTTAATTACAATTAAAGCAGCTCCCTTTATAGAGAGCAGCTTATTCCTACAGTGCAAGCTGTCCATCTACCTGATTTGTGTCTGGTAGTGTGCACTTCACACCAACCCTTCCAATTTACATGGAAAACATTGCATTGCATTTGGCTCGACTGTGGCTTGCTGGAGCAATTTTTTTCCCTCTGTGCGGAACATCGCTAGTATTTTACCAGTTATCAAAATAAGGTTCCACACACCAGCAATGTTTGGGAAATGGCTTCAGAAAAGATTCAATGCCGGTGAAAAGTTTGGACACACTTGACTCCGTTTGGTTCTCATTCTCAAATTTGTTTGAACTTTTGATCTAAAGGCTGAAATGCCTGAAATTTGTTTGTAGACAAATACAAATTGCACGTTATTTTATTTAATTTTATTTTATGATTAAATGAAAAACAACCTACAAGTAACCAGTAAAGAAACAAAAAAATAGATATATAAGATTTAAGAAAATTTAAATATAAGCATATGTTATTTGTTTAAATTTTTGTCACTATATAATTAACATACTTCCATTTGTGTTAATTTATAGCTTTAATGACTTTGTTATTATAAAATGTAGAAAATGGTATATTTAAAAAAAAATGGAGCATGAATAGATGAGTCCAAATTTTCTGAGCGATACAGTAGGCATGTTATAAAGGACAAATATCAGTATATCGAAGTATTGTAATATTTTATCTTGCAATGCTATACCAAAATTCTCACTGCAAAAATCTGTATGATTACCTCAATTTTTCATGTTCATAGTTTTGGGGTAAAAGTGGTGCTGAATGAGAGAGATTGCATTATACAAGGATTAGGTTTGGAATTACAATACAAAAATAAACCTAAAGAATCTCAATATTATCACACCCTGACCCAAATATCAATAATATTTAATATGCATTTTTGCAACAGTAAAATCTAATATTGTCTAGTCAGGAGTCTTTCTTTCATTCATTCTTAATTTCTCTGTTTCATGTTATTTGAACTGCTATGGAAGTTGTGTTTGTATCAGGGTAAGGTGTTCTCGTCGTAGTCTCTGTTTGAATACTTAGTCAAACTGGTGTGGCCACATTAACGTCATCTCCCTGCACGACAGTACTGATCTGCATATTTACTGTTACAGAAGGACATGCTTCATCAAGTTGCTCCACGCACAAGAACACGGTGGCCCCTTTCCCTGCTTTTGTGTTTGAAAAGACCTGGTCACTTGCCAGTTAAACAGATACCTTTCAACGAGCACTATTGGCTGTGCATTAATTACAGGGATAGTCCCATTGGAGCAACCTGCGCAAAAATGCATGGGTCAGTAACTCATGCATGCACTTATGCATGCAGACTTTTTTACTAAAAGCCCAGATTGTAAATGATTAAAGTGCAACCTGCCACTTTAAAAGCAGAAAAAGCAGGCACAAAGCACAAACGACATAATAATCTTGATTTTTACTAGAGAATATGAGTGTTTATGGCCCTAAATGATTGCAGGGCATCTCCAGGTAGTTCCTGACAAAATGTGGTTGCTGAGGTGTTCTTGATTGCCATGCAGATGCTAAAGTGTCTTTAGGTGGTTGTCAGGATATTATTTGATTGATATTCTGGTCCCTAAATATTTTTCGGATCCCTTATCTGTTTGATTTTAACATTCGATTTATTGTCTCACAGGTAGAAAATCATAACCCTAGTTACTTAGAGAATGAATAGCACAGCCTTCCAAATCAAGCCACATGATTTAGTTATCAGGCATGTTTGTAGCACATGTGCATGATTTCCAACAAACTCCTAAATCTGAGCACTGTGCAATCATTCTTTCCCAAGACATTTTAAGCACCTAAGGACACAGGCCACCGAATGTGTGATGTACCTTCTGGACTAGATCAACTAGATAAACACATTTCAGCGTGCTTCATTTTAACTCTTGAAGCAGCATGATGCTGGGTGTTGAGAGCTTGAGGGTGTTTGTATTGTGGTGCTGGAAATGTGCCTTTGATGCTGCTCTGTGGTTAAGCGCCTTTATTTTAAGTAGTAGTTCATTGAGCCGATCTTTCACTGTCCGCCTTCACACATGCAGGGGCATCAGTGAAAACACAAGGGAGGTTTCCAGAACTGTTGGAATGTGTGTTTGCGTTCCTCATCTTATCAGAACTGAGCTGTTTCCACATACTGATGGAGGTGAAACTTTCTCAGTGAAAGTCAGTGGCAGCACAAGAAGCGATACAAGTGTGAATTTGTGTTTTGCTGACTATTCAACACTACTGTTAAACCTTTAAGCTGTCCCTTGTTTGTCACGGTGTGAGAGATGTATGTCTGTGCACTGAAACTCGAGGTTATTTGATTGTGATTTACATAAAACGAGGGATATTTGTATAAAGCCTTTGACCTTCACATATCCTCGTGTCTGTGACTTTTATGAGGATTTTTAGGGAAAACATTGTCTAACGTTTGTTTTACCGTTCTAGAACATTATTCATGGCGCTGATCCTATGTGATTTATTACCTTGGCAAACGTGCTGTTTTAACTCTTGTTTATGGCTGTTTATAGTAGGTTTCCATTCATCACTGTAATATCAGCCTACATTTACCAAATTGAGCTTTCCTTTTGCATGCCCGGATGTGAATTTTTGGACGAGAGCCAATTCAATGCTAATGTTGAAAAACAAGATCTCTCTGATCTCCCTCTTCACAGCCTCCTTGAAACACATTTAGTCCACAGATGCAGATATACTTATGTTTTTCAGAATTTGAGATTTAGTATGTGTGTGAAATATCAGCCAATAGTACAGATCATATCGATCGATCTATACAGTATTGGTTGATATTTAATTGTGCATGCTCATTTCCGCTATTCTTACATTTAGATCGTCTTTGCTGTCGTCTAACGCTTCGTTTTTTTTTTTACTAATAATTTAATAACACTGTTAAATGTAATCTTTAACAAAACTCTAAATTAATATCCTTTTAAAATACTGTATATTATAATGTTGTGATGCCTAAATTCACTTGAAATATTAAAAAGGATTGATTTTATTTTTATTTTTAATTTATTTAGTCAAAGTAATATGATAGAAATTATAACACTTATCCCAAGTCTATATGATATTCTGATCCCTAATCACTTAAAGTCTGTTAGTTTTTTTTGTGCTCATTTTATCTTCCACTAGATGCAAATCATCAGTCTGATTATTTAGAAAAGCACGGCAATAGTCCTATCACAAGAAGCATATCAGTTTTCCAAATATAATTGAAGAATTCAGATGCAAAAGCCTCTAAGTGCCGTCTGAAATGTTCTTCTAAAATGAGTATTTTTATCAGGTTTCTATGTTTAGGTTCAGTTATTTCACTTTAATGGCAATGAAAAGGACCTCTTTATTGCCATTAAATGGAATTCTCTGAACCTAAACATAGGAGCCTGATAAAAATTATCATTTTAGAAGAAAATTTCAGACGGCACTTAGAGGCTTTTGCATCTGAATTCTTCAATTTGTCTCAGAAAGGAATATCACATGTTGACTAGAGATCGCTTGTGTCAGACTGATTCTCTTATACCTCGATACCCGAGCCCAGGTTGATTTGAGACTGCAGGTTTGCAATATTATGTTCTTTAAAATTAGCTTCTCTTCAAGAGCCTTTGCATCAGCGAATCATCTTAGAGGAAGTTAGTGCAGATCTAATTTCATCCTGCTTTTGTGCGAAAATCCACTTTTTCGTAATCACACTTTAGGTCAGCTAACAGCTCATTCAGCAGAGAAGTGTCTGAACTATTACTGAAGATGTGATGATTATAATGGGCTTTGATGGCTCCAGATCAGATCCATGGAAACCAGAGTTGCGCTTCAACAGGACTTCACTCTGAGAGTGTCTAACAAGCCTGATTCCATCATAGATAAGCGAAACTCTCACTTTGATGCCACAGACCTGCTCACATATACAGCACGTCAAGTTGAGAGTTGATTGAAGTGTTACAGGTATCATAAAGTCATAAAATATGAGGTTCAGATGAAATCATAGTGTTAAAAGTGATCGTTGATATTTAATCATCCTCCTCATTTTGTTCAGTTCTGTCACTGCGATGAAGAGTGAATGATTTTAATGTAGTACTGAGATGTGACCTGCCATTTCCTAGAAAGACAAATGTGGCATCTCAACCAGAGTTTCATGATGAATTTCTTATGAATCAAACATGATATGAAAATGGAAGATGTGCTCGAAATTAAATTACTATGATTAAAAAAAGTGCGGGGTCAGTGAGATTTTTAAAAATGTTTATGAAAGAAGTCTCCTGAAAGCTGCATTTATTTGATGAGAATGCAGTAAAACAGTAATATTGTTAAATAGCATTGCAATCTACAACGTTTTAAAATGTAATTTAATATATAAACACCATCGTAATTTATTTCTGTGATGCAAAGCTGAATTTTCAGCATCATTACTCTAGTCTTCAGTGTCACATGATCCTTCAGAAATCATTCTAATATGTTGATTTGCTGCTTAAAACATTTCTTATTATCAATGCTGAAAACAGTTGTGCTGCTTAAAAATTTTTTTGTGGAAAACTGCTTAATATTTTTCAGGATGCTTTGATTAGAAAGTTCAGAAGAAAAGCAATTATTTGAAATAAAAATGTTTTCTAACATTATAAATACTTTTACTGTTACTTTTCATCATGTCATTGCTGAAAACGTTTGAACAGTAGTTTACTATGACACTGTTGCAAAAATGCATTTTAATGGATTTTAAATGGATAAAAAGAAAAACGTATTTTTGTCTCTTTTGTTAGATGACGCAAAGCAAATGTGCATAGGCCAAAATTGAGGTTTGTTGTGACATTAATGAATGGCGTTGCTGTGGTACCTGCAGTGTGTCTGGACAAAAGGGGGATTTTTGGTTTTGCATGTGATGTCTTTAAGCTTCTCGAACATTTTTGTGAGCAGTTAGAAGGAAAGAGGAACAGGATGGAGGTTGCAGACTGCCATCTGTTGTCCCCAATTTAGTTCTCAACGTTTTATGGTCAGTAGAGACTCTCCTGTTAGTTCTGAATGAGTTACTCTAATCCTCATTCAAGCTTCTCCAAAAACAAGTCAAAGCACACTCACACATGCTCACACACACACACAAGTTTGTTTGACATTCTCTATTATGGAGACAATATTCTAACAACCATATCTCATACCATTCCATGAATGTTTGAAGGATTTATGGCTTTTTCTCAAAAGCAAACTGTTTGAACATTTCCTAATTTCTCATGTTAAACAAAGTGTTGTGTGTCTTAAAGGAGTGCCCTGGCCGACAGGCCGATTGTTAGCCATGCTGCGACAGCAAGAACCCACGGTCAGCACCCTGCATCTGGTGGCTAATGATATGACAGATATCATGGAGAACTTGGACACACGAGAACTCGACATTGGAGATGGGGAAGAAGAGTTTGACGGCCAGGACCCCAATAGTGCAGGTAAAAGAAACAAATAACAGCATAAAATCACTAAATAATCCAAAAAAAAAAACAAAAAAAAATTGGGGTCAGTTTGGAGCAGCAAATCAGCATATTAGAATTATTTCTGAAGGATCATGTGACGCTGAAGACATTAATGTCTTCTGAAAATTCAGCTTTGCATCACAGGAATAAATTACATTTTAATATACTGTGTATATATATATATATATATAT